TCCTCCTCTTCTTCCTCTTCCTCCCCTCCTCTTTCTTCAAGTAATATTATTTATTCTTCACATAGACTCACTCGTTCTAGTCATTTTATTCCTCAACTTTACTCAGTTCTTGGGACTCACATACACTCGCGGTAAGACATTACCACTAACAAATGTGACAGTTTAAAACAGTTTATTACAGTGATACTAGATCATTCTATGTACACTCTTTCCTTCTCTTCCTCTTTCCTGCTCATGCACGCGCGTCCGGAATGGGGTCGCGTAGCGACCGTAGCAATGCTTCCACGTTTTAGTCATGTTTCGTCACATGTAAAGCAAGTCCATATCATATGAGCTAAATAATTATTTTGATTATACTCCTTGTAATTCTTCCAATCGCTTTATTACATATAGATGTCGAGGTTTTGTATAAAACGTGCTTGTATATAGGTACTTACTATGTTGCCTCTCTTTTACCGCTTTTATTTTGTGTTTAAACGGAGTATCCAGGAACGGTTTGATTGTATTTATCTTCTCTTCGACCTCTATGTAGGGATTAATTTCAGTGAGATACATCACTTGTCTGATTGGATGAAATCGAACTTTCTTCATCATCACTTTGGTCATATGATCATACCATTCCGACTCATAGCCACTCTTATACACTCATTGCTAGATTTCCATTGGTCTATCATTGATTGACACACGTCATAACTCGGAAACAGTTGGGACAGACAAGTCATTGACTTTGATCCGAAAAACTGTAAGGATGCTATGACTTTATTAAAATTTGATGGACAGATAATAATGAGACTACCTAGGTTACAACGCCTGCTGGCATTTCGTATTTTCCCCTGGTTTGTATGCTCTATGGTGCTGCGTTTTTGAATGCCCTTTTAGTTCTATTTTTTTTCTGATAATATTTTTAAACGGGAGATTTAATTATTTCTCTTCGAATCATTGTCATTGAATTGCGTCGATGCATCGCTGTTATATTCCTCACTTATGGAATTTTTTATAGAATTTAAAACACTTTCGTCACTGCTAGTGATCACACTCACGCGATACAATTTATTCTTAATTAAGATTTGAACTAAAGTAAACATTTTATTGAGAAAAAAGCGATCACATGTTTATACTTCGAACAGACCATTGTTCATTTTCTGAGAATTTTGAATACTCATGAACTGAGTGATCAACATCCGAACTAGCTTATGTCAAGTAGTTACAAATCAAATACCGCGCTGTGTGACAACAAAAACTGTAATATGCAAAACAGTGTGTTGGACTTATCCCTCCGACATCTTGGATTCTTTTGTTCCCATTGTTTTGAGAAAACCGTTATTTTTTTTAAACCTGACAACCCTAACCCCTAAAACCCTGAAAACCCTAAAACCTCACCCTAAAACCCTAAGCCTAAAACCCTAACCCTAAAAACCCCTCGTACACCTACGCGATATGAATAAATTAACCTCGGCTAAGACACTCGGACCCAGACCGCGCGGAAGTTGCCATAAAGGCGCAATATACTACTGTTTCTAAAGAAACTGTCTGGGGCTGCGTCGGTGGGGGTAAGAGAGTAATTTGAATATATCAAAAAAGCTTAAATGGTAAATTGGCCACCGTTATGATTATAAAACTGACGTTTCGAGCATTAGCCCTTCGTCGGAGCGAATAGAAGAGTTGTGGGTTGTGTTTGCTTGAAAGGCAGAAAATGGAGCTACGTTATTGGTGGGATCATGGCAAGGAGAAAAACACGAATAAATTAGTGGAATGAAAAGCGTTCGTTGATTCCTGTGGGATTTAGATTGCTGGTTTGAAAGATGAGCTTTTGTTCAAGAGTTTTACGGCTTTTACGATGCAAAACGTGTCCTTTCATTCACAACACTGAGAAAATATCGGGACCCAAACGATCCATTAAGATCACCGATCACTTTACGTGCACCTCTGTCAATTTAATCTATTGCATAACTCGCACTTATTGCAAATAGATTTACATCGGCGAAACAGGTAAAAGACTAGGTGACCGATTCCGAGAACACCCTCGCGACGTGGAGAGGAATGACAAGGAAACATCGAAACCAGTCGCTAGATATTTTAATTTACCTAATAATTCTAAGAAATACATGGCAATCTGCGGTCTTTCCTTACACTTAGGTAGCACGGAAAGCCGTAAAACTCTTGAACAAAAGCTCATCTTTAAAACCGGCAGTCTAAATCCCACAGGCATCAACGAACGCTTTTCATTCCACTAATTTATTCGTGTTTTTCTCGTTGCCATGTTCCCACCAATAACGTAGCTCCATTTTCTGCCTTTAAAAGCACACACAACCCACAATTCCTCTATTCGCTCCGACGAAGGGCTAACGCTCGAAACGTCAGCTTTT